TAATTGGCCTTGATGTTGGCCAGGGGAGGAGGAGTGGTTGGATATATTTCTTCTGTACGTAAAGCTCCGGTTTCTTCATCCGGATGGCTATTGCTTCAGCCGTTTGAGGGACTTTCAGTCTGACCAATTTTGGCAAAAAATTACTTACCTTATAAATAATTGAAAAAGATTGGTTTATACTGGCACTATGACCGGTTTGTACTAAATGGGCCAATATTGAGCTGTTCACCTTCTTCATCAAACCTTTATTTAGCCACGCTGGAAGGTGTTCAGGAGCACGAAAATGTAAATTCCTAGAACTTCGACCAATATAACTCGCTCCACAGGAGCAGTTGAACTGATAAATACAAAATGAGGTCGAACAAGAGCTTACCACCTTGCATAATACTCTCAGGGAGAACGGCTACCCTAGAAAGTTTATAATTAAATATACGGTCACTAAGGCGAAAGTAGGCGAAATACAAACAGTGAAGAAGAAATCCCTGTTCATGCGTCTACAATTCAGAGGGGATGCGGCTAGCGAAATACTAACTCAGAGATTACGTAGGACAATACAAAAGTCTTTTAACGCCGGAGAACTACGATTAGTATTTTCTACGCGCCCAATGGTTACACCGAAGCTAAAAGATGAATTACCTAGTCTGACTGACTGACTGACTGAATATAATTTTCAAAAATAACCCAGGCGAGTTCAACTATTTTACTTAATGATTTTTTTTTACTTAACATGTATATGTTTTCCGGTTCCTTTTGCCATATATTTCTAAGTGTCCCTAGGTTAAATGCAGTAACTTCTTATGGAATGTTTATAACGCATCATATTCCTGCCTGAAGTTTCACAAGCAGTCTAAACTTTAAAATTATTTTCTGGTCATGTTCATTATTTTTAAATCGTCATATACGTCAACAACCTGCATGTTAACCTGGCCCATACATACGTTACACTGTATTTCCATGTCTTCTAAATTTAGAAATCATCTGGATCGCCTTTAACATTTATTAATAAACCCATCATAGTCGTTGTTGCTAATCGTATTTGGGTTTATGGATTGGTTTATCATATTAGCAGCCTAAAATGTGAACATACTTTAGATAATAAGATTAAAAATTTAGGGACTATCAACTGCACTAGTAAAATAACTAAATCCCCAGGTAGCTGTTGGCTAAACAAACGTTTAAAATCAAAACTCCGTAGCCTATTAGAATTAACACTAAACGAATATTTCTGAATTGAAATTTATAATCAAATTAGGCGTCTCGGATTCTTTAACGTGATAAATTTCTGATGATTTCGAATCACCTAAAGCAACAATACCTATTTTTCCACTGACTAATCTTCAATCAACACTATAATTAGTTAAATTTAATAGTTTCAGAATATCGTCATAAAGCATTGTCATAACTTGACAATCACGTAATATGACTGATAAAATTAATGAAACTATTAACCACTGTTGTTATGCTCAACTTTGTCGATTGTACTTTACCAACCACTCAGTGGTGGTCAGTGCCACATTTCTCTAATTCTTATACAAGATTTAGTTATCACTCATTAATATCAAAACTTTACCAGTTGTAATGGTTGAAAGAGATATGAAGTATAAATTACGACATCACACTAAAGAACTATAAGGAGAATGTAACCGATAATTGATTAGCTCAATTTGAATGTATTAAGAGAGGAGCTCCTTCAAGTGTATACATAGTAAATCGTGTAAATAATAACATTTTAGCTAATACAACTAGATAATTGAAGTGAGGTCAGAGTGTGAAGACATTTGAGCGACGCTGAAGTGATTTTGCAAATGTTCACCTGCTGACAAGTGCGAGATGTGGGATATAAACTAGTTAGAATGGTGGTTGGATGAATTCAACAAGCAAACCTGTACCTAGGTATCGTTCTAATTGACACTCGTCAGCAAAGTGTACTTGTAATCTTGAGAAAACTGATGTTCCCTGACGGATTCCATCCCGTGTCACCCAGCTTCACATTTAGGAACGTTACCAATAAGCTACATGTGCCTCGACTAACTGTGACGATGACTCATCTATAATGGTGTAAACATTGCAGCTTGATCGATAGGATTCGATCTGCATTATGAACGACCTGATATACATGAAATTGATCACCACCCAGTGATTATTCAATTGTTATAAACCAGTGTGAGGAATTAGAATGTTGATGTGATCAATAGAGAAGCCGATCATCTTTCTATCTAGAAAATTGACTTTGAATTCTTTAACTACAGGTCAAGTGGCATAAATACTGTGTAGTATTACTGTTAGCATGTCAGTTGTTGATTACGTTTTGTTATGAAACAAACAAAAAAACAAAACAATTTCTTGAACATTTTGTTCATAATTAATTAATCCATTAATTTAGTGTAATCTTCACGAATTTCAGATCAATAAAAGCAGTGCAGAATAAGGAATTGATAAATCGTTTGTTGTCGTTTCAGTGCGTAACACGTTGTGTTACTGTCTACACCTGTCTGATGAGTCACAACTAGGACGGAACTGGTTTCTTAGATTCCACTGGCAGACACCAAACAACTATACTAAAATTATCTTGTGATCTAATATCACTATTCGGACAATCAGTTCAGGTAACAAATATGCCATTAGGAACTGATCAATCAGAGTCATTAACACCACCAACGGGTAGATTCAAACAATTATGCGTCAAAGTCTGGTAAACGCAGCTCCAGTTGTACAAGCTAGTGGATATCTGGATCATCTTTCTATCTAGAAAATTGACTTTGAATTCTTAAACTGCAGGTCAAGTGGCATCAATATTGTGTAGTATTCTTGATATCGTGATAATTGTTGACGAAGTTCATAAGTAAAATCATCGGACTATGGTGAAGAACATGAAAGTATTGCTGGTGGCATTCATACAATATTTAACATATAACCAAATTATATCGTGTAGAATGTTAATTGGATGTTCTCTCATTTCGATAATCATTGTCTCATTTATTGAACTATATAATTGTTAAGTGGATCAGGCTAGTATGCACTACCTAATTTGAACTATGATCAGATCAAAAGTCGTATTGTTCTTTATACTGTATTTAATGGTCACTGATCGTTTTCATTTGCATCAACACTGTAAAACAACGTTGAGTGAGTTGATCAGCTTTAACGTGCACTGCTTGTGAACACAACTGATGTTGCACACACATCTAAATGAAGGTTTGTATTTACATTGATAGATTTTTGATTAACATTGTTTTGAATAATCGAGTTAAACTAATTGAATGATGTAATCACATCTCGATAATTTAATTTGTATGATGAATGACTTCACTGAACAGAGAAAGGATACTTATATTTGGAAACATGAAACAACATTAGTGATACAAGACATTTGAATATCACTATTGTTGTCAGTTGAATTTTGATTTGGGATATAATTTGCGAAACTAGTGAACATACGGAAGAAACAATGATGGATTATATAAAATTCGCTGATTTCACTTGTATATTCGTGGAATATCTATTCATTGAATGTATTGATGATGAGATGAATGCCTTGAAATAACTCATTTGTTACTATGTCACTACACATTATTATATTCTAGAAACCGGATTTGACGATGTCATGTACATATTTCACAGACAAGAGGTTAGTAGACAGGACTTCATTTTATGAACTAATCAATGTGATGTATGATAGTGAGTCTTGTATCTGGGAGACAATTCATTTATTACCATCATTTAAGCATATGAGCTGATGTTAGTTCATGAGTTCATGATTTCGAGTATTCATGTATTCTGAGAGGATTGTTCGCTTTACACATTGGTAAATTTGACTAAACCAAGAACAATTAAATCAGTAGACAAAACATGAATTCATTTCATATTGCAGTATTTCATCAGCTGATTAAACCTTAAACATAATATAGTATAATAACTCATCGAAATCAACTTAATCATCTTCTATTTCGAAATGAGTCTGTTAAATAAACTCCTAGAATGTTCAGATATTCAACCTAAAAATGTTCAATTGATTTCACGTATAAATTATCAAATATATCGTTCTCTCATACTTCTCAATCTTTTCATTAATTCCCATTGAGGATAACTCTTCCCATATAAAGTTTGTAGACCGAGTTTTAATGATCAATATTATGGTGCTGAGGTTTGAAGCAACTGTTGAGAAACACCGAACTATAGTAGATTCATTTTATCTCTACCACGTAAATTGTCTTAGCTTTGGTCAAACATGATTAATGTTTCATTTACACTTTTGTTCACAATATTCACTAATCATAACAGTGTCAGTCAAGTCAGATTGCTTTATATAATCAATTGCTTAGTAGAATTCCTATATCTCATTCTCTCTTATCAGGATCACATGCATACAATGATGGAATCAAATATAATCATCAAGCGGTAATCTGTGACGATTCCACGTTATCTGGAATGGTTGATCCAGTACGCACTCGATTAATATTGAAAGTAGAAATCAGTTGAAAATATTCATTTCAGAATGTAGGTGTTTTTAACCAATATCCTTCAAGTGTTTCTATCAATGTTGATGACAGCATTAGTGTTCGCAATGTATGTCACTTACTAATAATCCTGATGTTTCATGTTTTAGTGATGAAATCTTTGAATATCTTTTTCAACATAACTGGGTGGGTTCTGTTTTAATGTAAGTATATAAAAAATAGTTATTCATCATCAAATATTCAACGTGCATCTAGTAGTAAGCTTCATTTTATTTAAACACATAAATATTGGAACAAAGAGATACTGAATATATATACGCCACACAATTAACTTGATTTGTCGGTGGGCTATGATACTGCACAATTGCTCAAATCGAAGCAGACGGTTATATTAGGAGGCCACATACCAAGAATGTGACGTTTCATCAGGATTTATACGATTCGCCTTATGTTATTTATTGCATTATTTTCTCAACTAAATTTTCCGAATTGCATCTATTTAGTTATTGAATTGATTTTGACACTTTATAATTTACATTACAGTTTCATTTCGATTGGTGCAACCATTGCAATTTTCTTTATTCAGAGATTCACACATTTGAAATACCTCACGGATTTCCTTTACGTACTACTCGTAAGTTGTTTTTGTTAGCAATGGACGAATGTGTGTAAAACGTTTGCCAAAAGTAATATAAACGTGATTTAATACTGCTGTATCTCAATACTATATCACATCATTATGTTAGTCGTTATGTAAATGAGACTATTCTGTGAATGTGCAAAATGAGCTATCGATGTTGCTAGATATGGACAAACATGTATTATATTTGATCACCAATTCACCAAACATCGTATGTGATTTATGTGTTGTCTGTTCACTGATCTAATCTCGAGACGATGACTGACGAGGTGGATACGGAAAAATTCTCTGTATACATGAGTGGAGAACATTGTTTGTAATTGTGAAATGTGTGTTTAGAGACTGACAGTAACTTGTTCATACGAGCAAAATTTATGAATGCTTTATCAACTATAAACGTTTTACTCCAACATCTGACCTATTTGATAGAGTCGTCACTGATCATGAATTATGGTTACATGAGAAAGATGTCGATCGATAATTCTGATGATTTCTCGAGATGTTTTGAATGATGTAGAAACAGATTGGAAAAATGTGCCAACATAAATGTACAGTGGTTATCTGCATGTGCTATGAAGTTTATTCAGTAGAGATTTCATGTCTTTTATCGAGTTATTTCGTTAATATACGATTTATATGCAATCACTCATTGCCTAATCAATTTCAGCATGTCCTACCATCTAATTAATTATGACATGAAGGTATTTCTCCCCTTTTTAAGGTGATTTGGCACAAATGTTCTGTCAAATAAAGGCAAAATTTAATGGGTGGTTTCGTTGATATAAAAGTTAATTAAAATAATCCATAGTGTCATTGAGTAAGAAAGAGAGAATTCGGAGAAGAAAATTTTCTCTGTGACAAAATCATTTACCGAAGCTGTACGTTTATATATTTAGTTCTATGGAATATATATGCCTTTTGAACAATTCTCTTTTTCCCTTCATTTCAAGACATTCAGCTTCGCTGGTGTGATAACCTGCCTTTCAATCAACGTGGAAGGAATGTTCATATTTATCAGTTGGATTTTGGCCATCATTCTATCAGTGTTATTGTTTATGATTGGAATAAACATTAAACGTGATTTGGTCAGTTATTTTTGGTCGTTTTTGTTTTATGTCATTATTGTCATTCTTATCATTTTTGTTCTGCTGATCCCATGGATCTATGATATTAGAGTAGTGAGTTTTAATTAATTTATGTTTTAGTATATTGTATGATGATTGTGATTTTATTACACATTCTAAACCAATGTTATATATCAAATGGTATTATTCAATAAGCTCTAAATGCACACCGCAAATAAACATGTTTACTCTTATACAGGATCCACTATGTAATCATCAGCGTAGCTACGATAAATTCCATTACTCTTCCACCATTGTTGAGATCCCATCTTATTTGGTTTGATCAATTACTGAAGTTGATTGTCATTAATTTGCATATGATACAGTGCCCAGCATTTCTCGTGTATCATTTATGTTTAGATAATATTTTGAATTGTAGTGTTTAAACAGAATAAATATGAAAATGAGATTGTTGAATTGAGGATAGTAGATATTCCAATATTATTTATTCATAGATACGTTGATGCGTGGGAAATACGCTTCTTTGCAAAAGAGTAACAGAATAATATTGATAATTTGATTACTAAATTCAATGTGTATGAACGATTGTCAGAGTTAATATGGAAGTCAAATTTTCGACATTTTATTCTCTGGTTAATGTCAATGAACAAATACGTTTCATCCATCAGGGTTAAAATAATAGTGGTTCACCGAGAAACTGTATAATTGTCTGAATTCTGGTAAATTTATATAGATGAGATGAATTATTTAGCGTACAGGAGTTCATATCGTAACTCAACGTTGATAATTAATAATGTTTATGAACCAAAATCTAACAGTCTTCAAAGAGAACACCATATTCAACATTGTTAGTTCATGTCTTTATCCCATGAATGTTGGAATAAAGGGTCATCAAAGACAGATTCATTATTTAATCCTGTGAAAAGAAAGTTGAAACTAACTCAAATATGGAAACAGTTTTCTTGACTCTTGCGTTCACATCGGTTATCATCAAATATCGCGTTCATTTTCATTTCCATTCAGATTTATCATTTGTGATCACTCACGTTTTCAATTTTCTTACTATCTCTCTTACGAATACAACGTGTACGAGATTGATTGGATTAAGTGTCACAAAAATAAATTTGATGTCACATTTGATTGAGTGGTGAATTGGAGGAAACTCACAGATGAATAGATGATATTCCCACTGGTAAATAATTTATCTTTGCATTTCAGGTGACGTGGGCAATCGGTCTCCTCGTTTTAGCCATCGTAATTCCGGTGAGTGAATAGTAGTTTGAATGAAATGAGATTATTGTCTATTCACCATCCTCCTTCAATAAAAATCCGTGCATCGAATAAGTGAAGATTAAACCATATCACTTCAGTGAGCTATCCACACAACAATGTGTTCTGTGTCAATATACACTGTGAATCTATTTCACTGAACAATGTGCCATAATTATTTCTATAGGAAATTTCAACAAACGTTTGTAGATGTAGATGTTCAGATAGTGGAATTAATCATTGACTGTTGCGTATTCGTTAGGTAGAATCAGGAATTTCGAAACCTGCCGTTTCTGTTTTATGGTTAATTAACATACTAACTAACATTGCACTTCTTCAACAAATCTGTTGTAAATGAGGTGAATTGACAAATACTACTGTAGGAAGTGTAGGAAGAGATATTCTGATAGTGATTACATCATCAATTTAACACTCATCAAATTATGTCTTGATAGTATTTCACTTGCAAATAAGTCAGTCAGTTAGTGAATTATAATTGAGAATCATTTGATATTAGATAAACAACTAATCAGCATTGAATGTTGTGAATTTCAATTTGTACATTGTTATTGTGATTTTAGGCTAGTTTAATTGAAGCTCAAATATTTTGTGGAGGAAGAGCAATATACTACAGAGCTGAAGATTTCATATTTGCATCAATGGTTCATTTGTTCTTACTGACTTTCTCATATTCTGGATTTATTTTACTGTTTCTCAACATTAACTTATCCTAGATAATGACAATTTGTGTGATGTTTCAATGTGATGTATCCTCTTGTAATTGTGTACTCTTGATGATGCAGTAGAACAAGAATGATGAATATGAGAATTTCTGTGTTTGTTCACTTGTCTTCATTTCTATTTATTGTACGTGATTAAGCAGAATCGGATTTGAAATATTGAGTTTTAATTGAACTAATCATTGTGAGTTTGTGTTGTCATCAAGTGGGAAAGGGATTTTCTCTAAATCATCCGATTTGTAGTTTGTATTATACCATTGATTTTGTGTAGATAGTGATTGGGAGTGTGGATGTAATATAATAGTATGCTGTTGATTATGTTATTAAATTGTTTGAAATAAATCGAATATACTGTGAACTGCAAATGTCTTGACTGTTACATGGTGTTCGTTCATTCCATCAATCTGAACGATAGTTGTATTGAGAAGAAAGTTAACAAAGTCATCCATTTGGACGAAATTCCACTTTATCGTGATTGATCTGGTTTGTTGAATATGAAGTAGAGAAATTGTAAGTTGGAGTTTACGGTATGTTTGAGTAGAAAATCGACTTATTTGTAAACACATAAACAAGGATTGACAATAGTTTATTATATGTATATGGGTGGATGTATCATTGATAGTCGTGGTGTGATAGATGTAGATCCATGTGAATATCTCTTTGTTAATTCACAATATTTGTTATTGAGGTCTGATAACAAAGTTACACGTCTTGTGAAACAATCGCAAAATACTGATGCATAATACAAATTCATCTACCTCACCATGGTATTTATGTGTTTCATTATATATAAGATTTTATATAGCAAATTTAAATTGTCTTATTCAGAGTCAGTCAACAAGCACTAGTTTGGTTTTTTGAAAAATGACCTAGAAATCATCTAAACTACTGACAAAGTCAATTGGTTTTTGTAGACATGTATGTAATTCGAATTATTTGTCCGTAACAAATGCCCGTTTCCTCTTATGTGTTCAGATTGTCATTGATTAGTCAAGTTTCATTTGTAATCAACTTCATTTTCTCAAAGTATAGTTGTGTGAAGTGATGTTGCTCTAAAATTAATTGATTTGTCACTACAAACTGTAGCGGTAATTAAATCCCCAAAGTAAACAGCTCTGTAAGTCGTCGACATTGGATTCTGACCACATTAGTTTAAATGGACTCACACCTAGCTGAAGGCACTCGGTCATGCATCCGCACCAGATCACGAGTGGGAACGCCGTGATCAACATCCTCTGCAATCGCTAGCCTGATTAAATCAGACGATCCTCGATATATTGAAAGCCTATCAAATATATCTTCGAATCTCCTCGCTTCTGTCTTTTGGTTTCACTCGGTGGGTGCGATTCATATTAGAATGTGTTACTGGTTAAAGCGTTGTCAAACTCCGAATATCTATGACATCTTCATTAGTGAGGCTAACGTGATTTGGTACGCCAACTAGCAAACTGTGAGTCTGTTCCTTTTTGGGATTTTATATATCATTGTCTTATTTTGATTTTTGATACATTGTGATATTTTTTACGTGTTTTTTGATATACATATATTTTTCACTCGTTCATTCTCGTATTTGATATTTCACTATGAATGAACAGACACTCAAGGTACTTAAGCTAAAGACTATGTCCCGATGTTCGTTCCAGTTAATGCCCTTTCTGACTAGACAACATCGAAGCCTGGTTCTGCTACGCAGAAGCCGACTTCTACGGGCACGGCGTGAACGACACACGTGCACAATTCCTGGCAGCAGTCAAGACACTACCACGCGAATTCAACAGGTAACTTCCTTGAACAATTTCCAAGGAATCGACCTCCTTAAACTCGCCCAGCTTCAAAAAGAAGACACTGATATTCAGCACGAGTTATCGTCAACAATCCTCAAGCTGCGCATCGAACAGATGAGAACAAGTAAGGAGACCATACTGTGTGACACATCTACAGGTAGTGATCGCCCAATCATGCCGAAACATTATCGACGCAACGTCTTCAATACATTAAACAAACTTTCTAATCCAGGTGTTCGCGCAACCATCGAGCTTATAGCAGAACGGTTTTGCTGGCCTTGTATGAATAAAGACGTGAGGGAGTGGGCACGCTCCTGTGTAAGCTGCCAAAAATCTAATGTTATTAAACACAACAAATGTCCCTTAGACTGTTTCAAAACTCCGGACGCTCGTTTCGACCATGTTCACCTGGATTTGGTAGGACGTTTACCAGATTCAAATGGATACTCTTATCTCTTAACCTGCGTAGACCGTTTCACTCGATGACCAGAAGCAGTACCTATCAAAGACATTATTGTTGAAACAGTGGTCCGCGCCTTCGTCGAACGATAGGCAGCAAACTTCGGCTGCCTTTCAACCATCACTACGGATCGCGGACGCCAGTTCGAATCTGAACTTTTCCGTTGTCTGACCACACTATTAGGAATCACTCGCTTCCGAACGACCACCTATCATTCACAAGCATACGGGTTAGTAGAACGCTTTCATCGACAACTAAAAGCTTCACTATCAGCTGCAAACAATTCACAGTGGACTGACGCTGTTCGACTCGTCTTACTAAGTATTCGCAATGCAGTGAAAGCTGACATTGAATACATTTCGGCTCAACTCGTTTATGGAACGACACTTCGACTTCCAGGAGAATTCGTGGGTCCTTCATCCTCTTCAATGTACATGCATCTAACCACCTACACGAACAGACTTACAAACGCAGTGCGTCCAGTTAATCCTGTTTCCACTCGACCTAAATCAACTGATGTTTTCGTTCAACCTGACTTACGATGTAGTACACACGTCTTCGTTCGTCGAGACTCACATCGACGACCTCTCGAATAAGCATACGAAGGACCCTTCAAAGTTCTTCAACGCGAACTCAAGCACTATATAATCGGTAAGAACGGAAACAACGATAGCATCAGCATCGATCGCCTCAAAGCAGTGTATTTAGAGGGACATCCTATTCACGTCGAGTTTACTTCGGTACAGTTGCACGACACGACTCACACACTTATAAAGCCCCAACCGACAGCCAACACACACGATGATAATTCGACAGTATCAGAAAATAAACTTAAAACAACGCTTTCTGGAAGAAGAGTAAGATTTCCAGAACATTTAAACGACTACTGCACGTAAAACACCAATTAACATTTTGCTTCATCTCTATTTTCCATGGTATTATATATAATATAAAAAAATAAATTTTTATATGCTTATATTTATATATATTTATTATTTTGCTAATATCCATATTAAAACATTTTTAAAAGAAATGAAAAAAAACGCTTCGTAAAAATCGCTTTTACGCTGTCACATGTACATGAGTTTATTTCCGTTTTTTCTCCCACTTTGTGTTTTTACGCGCATACGAGTGTATTTTGACACGCACTTACATATTCGTTTTTCTTTTCCAGGACGGCTGGAAAAGACGATAAAAAGAACGATGAAGTTCACGAGGAACCGAAATTTTCCCCCTGAAGCCATGTTTAGAAGCCTTATTTGGACCGTTTTCAACGCCATGTTGTCATCAAAATTAGTGAATGGGCACGTTCACAATCCAAATATACGAAGCTTCAATGTTGTTGACGAAGTTTTCATTAAATCCTACCTCGGAAAGAACCGATGGGAACCCACAAAATTTGTACGAAAATTGGGGGAGAAGTCTTGTGTAGAGTGCGAGGAACCTTTGGAACATGTATACGACACACAAATCAAATTCATAAAAATAAGGGGACGATGCGCACTCAGAATAACCAGCCAAATCTTCCGTTAGAGTTAATCTCAGACTCATCAACATTCTGGTTCTGGTCTGGGGATCAGGAGAATAGCTGAGGAACCAAAATATAGCGTTCAAGTAGCGAGACTTATGAAAAAACAAGATAATTCCTTATAAATTTTGTTATTTCTTAGATGGTGGAAATGTGTGGCTCGTCACACGATTTACTTATAACTTTTTAATATCAGAACTTTACCAGTTGTAATGGTTGAAATAGATATGAAGTACAAATCACAACATCACAATAAAGAACTACGGGGAGAATGTAATAATTCATTATAAGTATTAAATAAACATTTTAATTGTTTAAAGATCCCCGTCATATTAAAAGACTAGTATTTGAACGAAGAATATTTTTTTCGATAAATTCTCTTCAGGTTCTACAGTTATCTCATATCCAAATTAGTAATCCGAAAAATGGCCAAGGTAAAGGCAAAGTACATCGTTTAGAGCATGTGAATTTAGGATTGTGATAAACAAAATACAATAAAATTGTTAATGTTAATACGACTCATATAGAATGTTCACTTGAATCAGCTTATATGTTAAGTAAAATTTTAAGATTCATGATCAGAATAAATATGGGTCAAATAAGGTGAGAGAGAAATAATAGTGCAATTATAATTCGATCAAATAAGTAAGACGTAATACGGAGGGATGAATGCGAAGTGAATGAATCATGTATAGGGGGATTAATGATGTTTAACCAATAATAATAATAATAATAATAATAATAATAATAATAATAATAACAATAATAAAGAGTAATAATACGAATAATACAAAGATTTATGAATAAAGATAACAGGGACAATTACAATTGACTACGAAAGGTCATAGTCAAATTAGTTCATTCAATACTTAAGATTACGATTGATTAATTGACCTTGATTTTGGCCAGGGGAGGAGGAGTGGTTTCTTCATCCGGATGGCTATTGCTTCAGCCGTTTGAAGGACTTTCAGTCTGACCAATTTTGGCAAAAAATTACTTACCTTATAAATAATTGAAAAAGATTGGTTTATACTGGCACTATGACCGGTTTGTACTAAATGGGCCAATATTGAGCTGTTCACCTTCTTCATCAAACCTTTATTTAGCCACGTTGGAAGGTAATCACGAGCACGAAAATGTAAATTCCTAGAACTTCGACCAATATAACTCGCTCCACAGGAGCAGTTGAACTGATAAATACAAAATGAGGTCGAACAAGAGCTTACCACCTTGCATAATACTATCAGGGAGAACGGCTACCCTAGAAAGTTTATAATTAAATATACGGTCACTAAGGCGAAAGTAGGCGAAATACAAACAGTGAAGAAGAAATCCCTGTTCATGCGTCTACAATTCAGAGGGGATGCGGCTAGCGAAATACTAACTCAGAGATTACGTAGGACAATACAAAAGTCTTTTAACGCCGGAGAACTACGATTAGTATTTTCTACGCGCCCAATGGTTACACCGAAGCTAAAAGATGAATTACCTAGTCTGACTGACTGACTGACTGAATATAATTTTCAAAAATAACCCAGGCGAGTTCAACTATTTTACTTAATGATTTTTTTTTACTTAACATGTATATGTTTTCCGGTTCCTTTTGCCATATATTTCTAAGTGTCCCTAGGTTAAATGCAGTAACTTCTTATGGAATGTTTATAACGCATCATATTCCTGCCTGAAGTTTCACAAGCAGTCTAAACTTTAAAATTATTTTCTGGTCATGTTCATTATTTTTAAATCGTCATATACGTCAACAACCTGCATGTTAACCTGGCCCATACATACGTTACACTGTATTTCCATGTCTTCTAAATTTAGAAATCATCTGGATCGCCTTTAACATTTATTAATAAACCCATCATAGTCGTTGTTGCTAATCGTATTTGGGTTTATGGATTGGTTTATCATATTAGCAGCCTAAAATGTGAACATAGTTTAGATAATAAGATTAAAAATTTAGGGACTATCAACTGCACTAGTAAAATAACTAAATCCCCAGGTAGCTGTTGGCTAAACAAACGTTTAAAATCAAAACTCCGTAGCCTATTAGAATTAACACTAAACGAATATTTCTGAATTGAAATTTATAATCAAATTAGGCGTCTCGGATTCTTTAACGTGATAAATTTCTGATGATTTCGAATCACCTAAAGCAACAATACCTATTTTTCCACTGACTAATCTTCAATCAACACTATAACTAGTTAAATTTAATAGTTTCAGGATATCGTCATAAAGCATTGTCATAACTTGACAATCACGTAATATGACTGATAAAATTAATGAAACTATTAACCACTGTTGTTATGCTCAACTTTGTCGAGTGTACTTTACCAACCACTCAGTGGTGGTCAGTGCCACATTTCTCTAATTCTTGTACACGATTTAGTTATCACTCATTAATATCAAAACTTTACCAGTTGTAATGGTTGAAAGAGATATGAAGTATAAATTACGACATCACACTAAAGAACTATGAGGAGAATGTAACCGGTAATTGATTAGCTGAATTCCAATGTGTTAAGAGAGGAGCTCCTTCAAGTGTATACATAATAAATTTTATAAATAATAACATTTTAGCTAATAAAACTAAATAATTGAATTGAGGTCAGGGTGTGAAGACATTTGAGTGACGCTGAAGTGATTTTGCAAATGTTCACCTGC